GGGGGGCGACGTCATGGGGAAACCATGACGTCGGGGGTTCCCTTATCCCCCCTGAGTTGGGGATATACCCCCTGAGTTGGGGATATACCCCTGAGTTGGGGATATACCCCTGAGTTGGGGATATACCCCACGAGCCCCGAGTTGGGGATATACCCCACCATCTCGTTCCCCCCTGAATTGGGGATGTGCCCCTCGAGCCCCGCAGGAGGTAGCCTGTGTCCCCCTCCAAGGGGTGGTTCGGCCAGCGGGGCCCAGGCCACGCCTGTGGGGATAGGGGGTCGGTCAAACGATGCTCATGCACACAGGCAGGCTCTTTTTATGATCATTAGCTCGTCTGTGCTGTTTTTATGTTTGTTCCGTTCTTTCTTCACGAAACCGAGTCCTCTGGAGACGCCCAGGTACTTGATTACGAGAAGGCGAATATGAGAGATCCGTCAACATCTAAGGAGGATGCACGATTTGGGCCTCTCGGGGCCCTCATGGGGGGACCCTTCGAGCACTGCGGCCTGGGGGCCTCTTGGGCCGTCTGGAGACCAGGCCATCTTACGCATCTTGGGAGCGATTTGTGGGCGTCTCGGGGCCCTTTTGGATTGTTTTTGGGGCCTCTTGGGGCCCTCTTTGCCGATCTTGGGGCTTCTTTGCTTCCAGGAGAGTCTACCGACAACGCGCGACACGCCCCGGAGAATCCGTGAAGTTGGGGTGGTCCGGGCCCCTCTATATTTCAACCCACCGCCGCTTTACTTCTTGGAAAATTGCCAACCTTTTCCTCCGGAACCCGGGGGCCCCCCCCCCCCCCCCCCTCCGAAAATCCCCCCCCCCCTGCTGGAACCCCTCCCCCCCCCCCCCCTCCCCCGGCAAAACCCCCCCCCCTCCCCTAACCCCCCCCCCCCCCCCCCCCCCACCCGCTCGAAAACCGAGGGGGGGTCACTACCGGTTCGAACCCCCCCCCCCCCCCCCCCCCCCTCCGGAAAACCGGGGGGGGTCACTAACCGGTTCGAACCCCCCCCCCCCCCCCCCCCCCTACTCACCGCCAGCAAACGACTCCCGGTCCCCACCACCGTCCGCATCACATCCCCCACTGGTGTTCCCAGCACCACTGTCCTCACCACCGCTGTCCCCACTGGTTCCACCACCGCCCCTACTGTCCCCACCAGTGGCCCCACCACTGTCGCACTGTCCCCGCTGTCCCCAGAACTGTTCCCACCACGGTTCCACTCTCCCCACTGTCTCCACGGCCCCAACCACTGCCCGACTATCCCCACTGTCCCCACTGTCCCACTGACTCCTCCGCTGTCCCACTGAGCTGTCCCACTGTTCCCACCACTGTCCCCACTGTCCCCACCACTGTCCCCACTGTACCTCTGTCCCATTGTCCCACCGCCGTCCTCGCCACCGCTTTCACCACTGTCCCCACCACCATTGTACCCTCCACTGTCCCACTGTTTCCACCTCATTCCCATTGTCCCCACACCACTGTCCCCACCACCACCGTCACCACCACTGTCCACTGTCCCCCCCTGTTCCCACCATTGTCCCCACCACTGTCCCCACCACTACCGTCCCCACCACTGTCCCACTGTCCCACTGTCCCCACCACTGTCCCGCTATCCCCTCACCACTGTCCCCACCAACACCGTCCCCACCACTGTCCGCACCCCCACTCGGTTTTCGAGGGGGGGGGGGTTCGAACCGGTAGTGACCCCCCCCGGTTTTCGAGGGGGGGGGGGGTTCGAACCGGTAGTGACCCCCCCCCCTTTTCATGATGAAGGGGGGGGGGAGGGGTTCGAACCGGTAGTGACCCCCTTCGGTTTTCCGGAGGGGGGGGGGGGGGGGAGGGGTTCGAACCGGTAGTGACCCCCCCCGGTTTTCCGCCAGCAGCGGTAGAACACGCTCTTTCGCAACCCATCCCCTTCCGTGACGCCCCCCTCGCCTCGCCCCCAAACGTATGCCTGCGGCCAGGGGCGAGTTCGAAAGGCGAGGATGATGTCACGCAGGGGGATGGTTTGCTAGGGGTCGGTTCGGCTGCGCCCGACACCCCTTCCCTGCCCAAGCCGGACCCTCGGTCCCCGTGGACCACCTTTTTGTCGGGCATGGCCTCCTGCAGGCGGATTTCGGACGACACATAACACGCAGCCTAAAAGTATACCCAAATAGTAAAAACTAGGAAACATCGACCCCAGGCTATTTTCCTTGACTGCTTTTGAACATTCGTCCTGCAGGGGGAGATGCCCGGCTTAAGACCGCCTGGACGCCGTTGCGGAGGACCCCCACGGACTGGGCGCCCCTTGCTGGGCCGAGCCAGCGGGCCCAGAGCGCCACGCGGCCCCGCGGGAAACCCCCAGCCGTCCCTTGCAGCCACCAGACGCCCGAAAGCGGCCCAAATAATTCCCCCCAGGAGCACACCTTCCAAACGCAACAAAGCATTGATCATCCAATGATGTTTGGGTGATTTTTGTATACTCGGTTCTTCGGTCCTCGGGGCGTCCGAGATCGCACAAGA